AAGTATTCTTGCTTTGAGGGAGTACTTGAGTGGAGGCCCAATGTCCTTCTGCTACCTTAATACTAAACCTATAAATATAGGCACATAGACCTATTTCCCCATCCTCTTATAAAAATATATTTGCACATGCCATTCTTATGCCAATAGATAATGGAAAGGCATTGGGATTCTGAATCATAGTCCTGAAACGGAATCTGCTTAACTACTTAATACTTCTTCGTCAGTTAGTTCATTCGGATTAAAAAACAGCTAATATCTAACTAACAGAACCGTTGTGGTAAGTTTGACAGTGTAAGCACAGTGCTGGACAGAGCGATTACTCAAGAGCCCTGGGGGCATAGGTGCTGGGCTGCTAATTGCTACTCCATGAGAGAAAGACGGGATCTTTTCTGCTCATTTATGAATTGGAATCGACCTGATGGTAGTGGGTCTTATCAAGCCAAGCAATATGTTCTAGCTGGCCACAGACTTGAATCTAATACTGACTTAAGAGACTCAGATGCAGTTTTGTTTTTCCAATGTCTGAAGTTAAATGAACTAGTATAAATAACCCTGGAATGGAAATTCCAATCCTGATATCTATCCTTAATTCATCAATACGAGCACATTTAATCTCACTGCAGTAGAGTTGACTCTACTCATAGTGACCCTATAGGACAGGGTAGAACTTCCCTTGTGAGTTTCTGAGACTGTAACTCTTTAAAAGAGTGTTAAGTCTCAAAACTGCTGACTTTGTGGTTAGCGGCCCAAAGTAAAACCACTATGCCACCAGGGTTCCATCCTATGCCACTACCATGCAGCCTACAAGCAAATCTTAGGCCTTAACAATGTGCACTCAGCAATTCTACTTCTAGGAATTTAGTTGAAGGAATTAGGGGGGGAAATTAGCTACAAGTTATTGCAGCACTGTTTATAAGCACAAATCGTAAACAACCTGAATGTTCAGTAGAGGATAAATTTACTTAAGGTAGTGATTATATAAACACTAAATAAAACTACAGTGCAGAAACATGCTTTACATAAAAGGTTACCAAACAATATAATTCACTCTTCCCTTTGAAAATGTATAAATAGAAACCATTAGGAAATTTCATTTCTCCTTGTAGGATTATGATTTTTTTTAGGATTATGACTTTTAATATAAAATTTCAATGTGCATTTTCTACAATGAGCATGCAATACTTGTGCAGTAATCTTTATTTTAACAATTTTACTGAAATATAGTTCATGTAAAATTTGATGGTTTAAATATATTTCAAAGGATTGTGCAATCATCAGCACAATGAATTATAAAACTCTTCTTCATTTTTGTATGCATTGGCTCCTAATCTCCTTACATAATCCTAAAGTGCTACTAACTTAGTTACTGTTTTTATAGACCTATCTATCCTGGTTTTCACATAAAGAAAATCATACGAACCCCCTCAGACAACAAAAAGATAAAACACAGAAGATCCACAAAAAAAACCAGATATAAAAAATAGAACAAATTTAAAATGGGTCACAAAAAGAAAGACAAATGTTAAATTTAATCAAACAATATCTGTACTAATTCACTTTCGGATTCACTCTGAGGACAAGGCTATTCACCTCTCTGGTCAATGGTGTAAGGAGACTCAAAGGAGGCTTAATCCTCATAGGAATTCTGCAAAGGAATTTTAGGCTTTTGTTGTCATCCACAGCTTTCTTGGGCAGTAATTAAAAAAATAGTATGAAGAAAATCTTAAATTGTTCATTTTCCCCCTTAAATGAGGACAGACTAGTATAAATGCTCACATTTTATAGACGATGATTTTGAAAAATAGGTTAAATTACTTGCTACTGACTGTAAACCAAAACTTAATTTATTCATTAAACTGTTTTTCTTGGATCATACAAGGGATGCTCCTATGCATACAAGGAAGCATGAAAAACACGTTCTGTATAGAAAAAAACACGTTCTGTATAGAAAAGTATGGGTGCCAAATAGAAATAAAGAAATCCCCACTCCCCACCTCCCCATTCCTTTGGGTACTGATTCGTAGTGATCCTACAAGACAGAGCAGAACTGCTCCGTAGGGTTTCTGAGGCTGTTAATTATTACAGAAGGAGATTGCCTCATTTTTCTCTTGTGGAGTGGCTGGTAGATTCATACTGATGACCTCTTGCTTAGCTTTATGAATTGGAATAGACCTTAATGTATTGCAGCACTCGAGATTCTAACTAAATAGAACATTTCTTTTTCTTTTCTCCGTACAAGCTTTTTATGATGTATATATTTGCATTTTAGAAATACTTATGTTACCTTGCTGTCAGTAAAGGAAACATGGTGGGAAAAAATTGAAACAGTAGTCCAGAAGTTGATTCTGACTTATAGTAGCCCTATTTTAATATTTATGGCAGCTGATAGCCTCATCTTTTTCCCATGGAGTGGTTGCAGGGTTTGAACTGCTGACCTTGAGGTTAGCAGCCTAATGCTTAATTCACTGTACCATCAGGGGTTCTTTTTGTATAGAAGGCATTCAATAAATGCCAACGATTAACTATTCTGGGGTGAGAAGGGGCTGATTTCTCATAATAATTCACGCCCCACAAAGTACATACAGAGCGTCATACCACTGGACTACTAGAAGCAGTGGCTCAGTGATATGAAAAGTATTTCCTGACCTAGAGGACAGTGCTGCACTCCAAGTACTATGAAATCAACCGAAGGGTAGAATTGCTGATGCAAGCAAAGTGATCATATGATCCCTTCACTTTTAAAATTTTCTAGTTTGGATTAGGAGCTCATTATATCTAAAACTTAGTATGGGATTTCTTACACACACATCATAAAAGTATAAATCTCAGCTACATGGAATAGACCTATGTGCCTAAATGCCTAAAAACAGTAACAAAGAAACTCCTAAAGATACAAATGAACTAATTTTTAAGGAACTCAGTCTGGCCAGGTTCTTAATGGAATCATAGACTAATAAAGACTTTTTTCAGCCTGGAAACGCACCATTTTTTTTTGTAGTTCTAGTTTATCTTTAGAGATAAGGCTTCCAGGACTACAGGAGTACATACCCCAGTTCTCACTTTTCCCACAGGCTACCTTTAAGACCCAGAAGCTGAAGGTTCCCATTAACCTCCACTCTGCTGAAAGAGGAAAGAAACTATGTTTGCTGGCCCTTCTCTTGCAGAAGCTTGTATTTAGTAAGATTTAGAAGTGTTCATAAATACTCTCCGTTTATAGCTTCTGCCTCTCATGCATAACAGCTGGGGGCAGAATTCAGAAAGAGAAGCAGAGTTCTAAAAGTACCAGAAGGACCTGATCTATGCCCATACTTAAGGACACAGCATTCAACATTGCAATGCGAAAACAATGTATACATCTAGAAAAGGTGGCCGAGAATTTTCTAGACTATTCTTTGAAAGACTAAAGCAAAGGCTTCTTCAAGCAATCTACTCTCCACATCCCTTTGCCATATTTTAAAAACAGCATAGCAACTCAGAATTTCAATCATCTGTAAAATTGTAGTAGCTTACATTTTTGAAAGAAATGGCTTAATGAAAATCTTGCTTAAGAGTAGTCATTTAAATATAAGTATGACACTTTGCACCACAGAGAAGGGTTGACTTAATGGTTAATCTTTCAGTCGACAGTGGGTTTCCTCATAAAATTATTGGTAACAAGAGTCTACAATATGAAGCTAATTTTTCACACCCTAGTCTTCCTTATAGTCTTTGCCAACAAACAAACTTCCCAAAGTGGAAAACAATGGAACGTGTGGGAACATGTTTCCATGACCTAATGCCTCCTCTTCCAAGTCTTTCATCAAGTGTTCATAATAGACCCACTTCAGTCATGTTAATACAGGATAGTCTCTCGACTCTCAACAGTTCATTCAGAAAAAGCACGCTTCTGCTTTTTGCTTTGTTTTAAGCCAAGACTTTCCTTTCATCTCTAAGCATTATCAATACATAAGATCAACGTCTCCCCTCCCGGATTGATTAAAAAAACAAAACCACAACCCCCCCAGCATTTGCCTATGCCTCTGGAAACTGGTTTGATTACCCGAGTTCTCAAGGGCACAGGGGTACAATCCCGTGCCGCCACCCCCGCTTCCCCTGCAAATAAATGGCTTTCAGGGCGAGATGGACCGCAACTCAGTTTCTGACGTCAGTCCAAGTTTGCACTTCTCACTATTCTGAGAAAAGGGATGGGGAACGTCGGATGCGGCGAAATGAATGAAGAGCTCTCCGCGGAGGCAGCGTCAGCGGCCGGCCGCGGGGCAGCCAGCCCACTCGCAGCGACCGCAGATCTGGCCCCAGGCGCGGATGCCCAACCCCCCGCCCCTACCGCTGGGGGGCTCGCGGACGGCGAGCGGGGGTGGGGTGGGGGGGTGGAGAGGGTGCAGGCGGAGCGATGCACCAAGTCCTAGGATTAAGTCGCTTGCCCTTGAAGGTTAAGCAGCTCTACCGGGCTCATCCATCCACTCCCACCCAGGCCCGCCACCCAGCAGTCTCCAAGAGACCGCAGTCGATGGGTGGCACCTGTCATCCAGGGGCGTCCGGGGAGCCGGCAGCCTTTAGAGCTGAAGGCAGGGAGGAAATCTTTCTAAAGGTGGAGGTGCGGACCACAAGAGGGACTTACGGTGTACAGCGGTCGCTGTACTCGTTGGCGATGGTCTCGATGCCGCCACTCCTTGCTACGGCGATGTAGCAGTTGAGGAAGCCGAGGTCAATGCCAACCACAGACATCCCGCCGCCTGACGAACTCGGTGCTGGTGCCGAAGCCTCGGGTGAGGGGAGCGGGTCCTTTGCTGGGTCGTTGCGGCCGGGATTGCGACTCCTACGAGA